GTTCCAACAGAAGGAAAAGTCGTGGTTTACGAATGCAGCGAGGAAGGGACTTTCTTCTCTTAGATGAGGTGAAACCTGCGCGTTGACCCACTCCCAACAATGAATGTTTCCACGTTGTTTAACGTCCTGCATTTGTGATTAAATTATTCAACAAGTTTCAATTTTTAACCATCTAGTCTCAGAGTCGCAGAAAGGGTCACAGTCAACGGGCATCCACGATCTGAATCACGGGCGAGAAGATGTCGGAATCAATGGAAGGATCAGATCCCCAATTACAAGTAAGTGAACGTCGTAAGATTTGGACTGCAGAGCTTCATGACAGATTTGTGGATGTTGTCAATGCCCTTGGCGGATCCGAGCGTGGGTGATCTTCGTACCTTAAAAGATGATACTTCGTACCTTAATTGATAACCTAAGACCAATATTTCATTGAAATTATAGGAGCCACACCTAAGGCGGTCTGGAGGTTGATGGGTGTTTCCGAATTGACCATCTACCATGTGAAATCACATTTGCAGGTTGCTTTTCTGTTCCTTATTCCGAATTGATGGGTGTATCCCCGTAGCTATTTTCCTGTTTATGACCAAAAATTTCTTTCTTTTTCCCTCCTGGTTAGAAATATAGGTTGTCCGGACTCCGGATCAACCTCGAGGTTAAAAGGTATGGGCTCCATTTACAATTTCTTTGGTTCCTCCATTTACAATTTTTATTCTTCATTACAGAAATATCGAGAAGGAGGATGATTCCCGTGTCAAACACGCTTAATGATATCCAGAGAAGGCTCCAGTCTCTATCAGTGCATTCTTGTTATAATCTATTTCTGAGATGTGTCTTGTGGTGGCAACCAGGCAGACGCAGAAGAGACAGTTTTCCTTAATGGAATCATAAATGAGCTGCAGAAGCGAGCCATCCTTACTTTTAAGATATGATCTAGTTACTGACACAAAGACGAGGATTCGAGACCTAAATACCTTGAATGGTGTTTTTATTCTGTTATTTTCAAAAACATACGCTTCAGCTGAAAGCATGGATAAACTCGTGACGCTCATGGAATACCAGAAAGAAAATGGTGTCCTAATTATTCCCATTTTTTTTAAAGTGACACCTTCAGAAGTTCAGGATCCGAAAGGCTTTACTAAAGAAACTTTTTCACAACTTGATAATTCAGTCCAGGCAGGACGAGTTCAGAAATGGAGGGAAGTAATTGATGAATTAGCTCACAATGATGAATGTAAATGGATAGCGGGGTAAACAGACTTCTCCCTTTCCTTTAGGCTCTCCCCTTATTTTGTATATCTCTTTTTCATGCTTATGGAAAAGGAAACCTGATAGACAGTAACTTCGGCTCATTTGTTCTTCTCAATTTATTTGTTTAATTCCATTCTTGATTGTTTTTGGTGCAGGAATGATTCTATACTTCCCGAGGAGATTGTTAGATATGCGTGCGTGAGATTATTTTCTATCTCTTCCCAAAACGTGACTAGAATATACTCGTTGCTTAACAGCTTGAAACCCTCAGACATGCAAATGATTGGGATTTGGGGTATGCCTGGCATAGGTAAGACAACTACTTTCTACAAGACTTTGATTGGTTTAGTTGGCGGATTTGATTTTCTCGTGGACATTTAATCATCTTAACCTCTAGGAACAGACAAGTTCTTGTACAGTGTAAAGTCAACGGGCTATATGAGATGCAGAAATTATCCGAATATGAATCTTCTGAAACTTTTTCTCTGTCTCTCCCTGGACGATATGACTCCATGCTGAATTCAGAGTTGGTGAGGTACGCCAGTGGCATTCCATTGGTTCTCGGAGTTTTAGGTTCGTTTGCAACAAACCAGTGTAAATTCAGTGAAAAAGAACAACTGCAAATGTTGCGCCAAAATCCTCCAACCGAGATTCTGGAGGCATTCCGAAGAAGTTTTGACGGTCTGAATGACAACGAGAAGAATATGTTTTTGGACCTTGCTTGTTTTTTCAGAGGGGAGAACAGAAATCATGTGATTCAAATACTTGATGGCTGTGGTTACTTTACAGATTTAGGAATTTATGGTCTCATCGATGAGTCCCTCATTGACCCTTTAGAGAACAAGATAGAAATGTCTAACGTGTTCCAAGATATGGGTCGGTTTGTTGTTTGTGAAGAAAGCAAAGAGCCAGGAAAGCGTAGCAGATTGTGGGATGCTAATGAAATCGCTAACGTATTGACAAGCAATTCTGTAAGTTGACCATCTATTCTCTTTTATATATGCAGCTCCAAATAGAAGATGTTTTTCACTTATTCAGTTGTGAAAGCTGATATATCATACTATCCTGCTCTTTTTTTGCCAGGGAACTGAAGCAGTGGAGGGCATATTTCTGGACATGTCTGACTTGACATGTGAGTTAAGTCCCACTATATTTGATAGGACCTATAGACTTAGATTGCTAAAGCTCCACTGTGCAATTTCTGAAAACCGTGGCACCATTTGTCTGCCTAGAGGCCTATACTCTTTGCCTGATGAGCTACGGCTACTCCACTGGGAAAGTTACCCTCTGAGATCGTTGCCCCGCGAAGCTTTAATCCTAAAAACCTTGTGGAACTGAATATGCCTAATAGTAAAATGGAGAAGTTATGGAAAGGGACTAAGGTAAGTCTTGAATTTTATGGCGTAATCAGCTGCTTACACGAATGTATAAACTTGTACACGATGACTTATTATTGCTTTTGTAAACAGAATCTCGAGAAGCTGAAGAAGATTATACTAAGTCACTCCCGACAGTTAATTAAGATCCCAAGGCTTTCAAAGGCCTTGAACCTTGAGCATATTGATCTTGAAGGATGTACAAGTCTGGTGAAAGTTAGCTCATCTATCCATCATCTTGACAAGCTTGTTTTCTTGAATCTTAAAGATTGCTCTCGTTTGCGAACTCTGCCTGTCATGATTCATCTAGAATCTCTCGAAGTTCTTAATCTATCCGGCTGCTCAGATCTTAAGGAAATTCAGGATTTCTCACCAAACCTGAAAGAGCTATATCTAGCTGGAACTGCCATAAGAGAACTGCCATCTTCCATAGAGAAGCTCACTAGACTTGTTACATTGGATTTGGATAATTGTAACCAACTTCAGAAACTGCCACAAGGTATGAGTAACTTAAAAGCCATGGTCACGCTTAAGCTTTCCGGGTGCTCAAATCTGAAGAGCCTTCCAAATCTTGATGCCATATATCTGAGAGGGACGCAACATCTTAATACAGAGATAACAATGGAAGTACCTAAGTCCTTGGTACATCATTCTTCTATTCATCAGTCAAGGTTGGATCACTGTGAAACCCTTGATAAGTTGATTCCTGATTTGTGTTTGAAAAACGCTGCCATACAAAAATCTTTAGCAGCATCTGTATATCGACAAATTGCCGGGATACGGCAAGAAAACTGGCAATGGTCCACTATTAAACTGCAGCCCTTGTCAATTTTTCACTTTTTGGCATCAAGATTGTACGCTCTAGTATCTTTGTGCCTTTCTAACGCATGCTTGGTGGATTTACCAAAAGAGATATGTGGGCTTCCGTCAGTAAACATACTGGATCTTGGCGGAAACGGTTTCAGCAAAATTCCTGAAAGCATCAAGCTCCTCCCTAAACTACACAGCCTTAGATTGCGCCATTGCAAAAACCTCAAATCCCTCCCAGAGCTTCCCCAAAGTCTAGTACTTTTGAATGTGCACGGTTGCGTGTCTATGAAGTCAGTTCCTTGGAGTTTCGAACGGCTTCAGTGCACATTTAGTAATTGCTTTAATCTGTCTCCAGAAGTCATCAGAAGGTTTTTAGCAAAAGCTCTGGGTATTGTTAAAAACATGAACAGAGAGAAACACCAGGTAATCTTATCTTACGTATGCTTTTAAACATAAACTCACTTTCTTTTGCATATCTAATTTATTTTTGTCTTGCTGTAACAGAAACTCATCACAGTAACTGCTTTCAGCATCTGTGCGCCTGCATCTGTGGGTCTGAAATCATCAACTGATGTGCTTGCATCTGAGGGACTGAAATCCTCTATGCAAAATGGTTCTTTTGTTGTGATACATCTAACTTCTTCCCTGAGAAAGACTTTCTTAGGCTTTGCTATGTCAGTGGTAGTTTCATTTCGCGATAATTACTACAATGCTGCTGGTTTTAGCATTAGGTGCACATGCATACGGAAAATGAAGAATGGTCTCTCTCATAGGCTAGAGAGAGTTTTTCAGTTTTGGGCTCCTAAGGAAGCTTCAAAGATTAAAAAGGATCACATCTTTGTCTTCTACGATACGATAATTCCTTCCTATGCAAGAGAAGGGAATAACGTTTACAATATTTTTGATGAACTAGTTGGATTTGAATTCTACCCTGTCAATAACCAGAACGAGGTTTTAGCTGATAGTTGTGAAGTAAAGAATTGTGGAGTCTATGTGGTTACTGATGCAAGCGTTGATACAAGTCTAGTGAAGAAAAGATTTTCTCCTACTAACAGAGAGAGAATTGGAAAGAGGCCACTTGCTTCAGCTATGGATCCAAGAGGTTTTTCTTCATATCGGGAACCACTGCCGCGATTTAAGAGAGGTCGTTATAGAAGAAGTGTTGAAACTGCAATCCTGAAAATAAGAAAAAGGAAACGAGAAGAGGGCTTCTATGTATCAAATCAAAGGTGCGAATCTGAAACTTTTCTCATTTCTAATTTAACATTGTTCCTCTTGAAAAAATAAGAACTCGTAAACACAATCCAATTAAACCACTCTAAAATATAAGTACATGATGAGAACCTAACTACCAGATCCTCTAATCATGATAAATCTCTTATTAATTTCGAATCTTGACATGCTGATGCTGATGTTGCATGATGAAACCTATTTCGATGATTCTAACAAAATCTTTTGTGATGCAACTCAAGCAGTTGCCTTGAAGATGTATCAAAGGTGCAAAAAGATTAAAAGAGGGCAAATCAGTTGTAACTGGAAATTTCAGACATATAGAAAATTAGCGTGTCTTTGACTTTGGCCAACACGATGATGAGCATCACTTGGGTACGTATCAGGTGTTGTGAAAACGCTAGTTAGCTGGCCAGTGTATAAGAGCAACTTGAAATATCTGTCGATTACTTTCATGTCTCGAAATGTAGCACATGACCATGGTCATTGCTAGGACACAGTTGATTTAGAGGTCACCAACAGTTCACAGTTCAAAAGAGAAATGCTGTGAGAGTTCATAACACGTCAATCGTCATCCATGCTTGTTAACCAGACATTTAAGATTCACAATACGAATTGTATCAAAGCCAAACCACTAACCAGATTCATAAACATTCGATAACTTAGTGCTATGAATTTCGAGCGAGCACATTCGATAACTTAGTGCTATGAATTTCGAGCGAGCATTATCTGTAAACATTTAGCACTCCTGGCAATAACAATAATTTGAGTTCCACATTAACAAACGCTGAAGAAAGTTTACAATTCAAATCAGACCAAAGCCAAACCAGCAATAGTTATTTCATCTAGTGTCTTGTATCAGCAATTATAAAACATTTAGTAACAGCAATATAGATCCATGACAGTCTGATCTGAGTCATGCATTAGCGTAATCTTCTCATGTGGTTCATCTTTGAAATTCATCAAACGTTCTTCTTTATAGCAGAAAGCATAATTGATTTTCTCCAATGATCATTTACGTTTGCTCAAGGTCCACACACTTCAGCATATTCAACACTTTCCATTAGATTCAGCTTCACTATTTTTTAGTTTCCTATCACTTCTATCATCATCATAGTAATCATTAGCTCTTTCATTCTATATCTCTTTGTTCTGCTATAGCTGGATCAAACTAGAAATTTCTCCTGCAAGAAAACAGTTTGAGAGAAGAGTGGTATAAAGAGTCAGCCATGGTATCTCAGCCTAGACGCTCCACCTAGACCGAACCAAATCTTGGAATTCAAAGTTGTGTATTCTAACCAGAAGGTTCTTGAGCTGCTCTTTATGTGATCCGCAGAAGAAGAAAAAAAAAACAGTAATAGTTTTTGGGGTGACCTTGAAAACGAGATAAAAAGAGAATTAACTATTTATTGGATTATCAATGCTTGGTCATGCGTACACAAATTTGCTTCTCCTTAACTCTTCGTCGTTCTCTCCAGGCTTGTTTCCATCCTCAGTTCCAGATCTTTTCCTACTATCATCCAGATATGGAGAAACCTCCATGAGTTGTATGCCGCATTCTTTTATCTGTATTATATCCTTCCTGTGGTCAAGGCATAAAAACTCAAACTGCACATCGCCATAGTTCAACTCAGCTGGAGGACCATTGACTCCATCCAGAGAGAACTCGAAACCGAATATGATGAGATGATTCATCATAGAAAATGTGTATGTCATACAACTAAAATATTTATTATCCTTTCCACCTCTTAATTACCAATATACACCAAATTCAAACCACCCAGATCTTGATTCAACCACAATGCAAGCTTTATATCTCAAGATTTGTTTGGAAAGAGAGATGCGAGGTAAAGAGACGGTTAGAACATTTCCATGAACTCGATGAATGAAATATTGAATCGTCGAAACGTACACAAGC